TCTAAACCTATACTCAGTGCCGTCCTCAAAGCATGTCCAAGTACATCCAAACTTGCTCCTCAAACTGGTTTCAGGCTAAACTTGTTCTATCCTCTAGACTTCGATGTAGTGCACACTTAATTTAAACTTTTTATATATATATTTATTTATTTATTTATTTGCTGTGCGTACACAGACCTTTCTCCCTTTTCCCTGCAGAAACATATTAGACATTACAAAAATAATCTGTGGTATAAAAGAATTCTCACACAATGTAGAATTTTTGTTTGTATATGTAACTAAAATATATCTTTTTTTTTTTCCAAAAGTAAAAAAGTCAAAATGTCCTTATTTTCCTCTATTATATAGTCTATTTTATTTACAATGTTACCAAACAATATTCTGTATGTAAAAGTAAGAACAGTTTGCGGGACACTTCCTGCTTAGCAACTTCTCAAGTGGAGTGTGGCTCAAAGAGGACTGCAACAACAGCACTGTCATGTTATCAACCAGCACCTTCCTCTGCAATACGAGTTTTCTTCCATACTAAGTGAAACCAGATCCTTCCCCTGCAAAACAGGGGACAGTCTGCCTAGAAAGTAGCACAAGAGGAGTAAAACGTGTGTTCTCCGGTTTCTGTGCTGTGATATTATGGGGGATCAGGATTCCTAATGGCGAGGCCTTACCCAGCCAACCTGGGAATATGCCCCAGCAACGCTGGACTGAGTGGACCCAAGGCTTTTGCTGCTTCTGCTGAAACCAAGAACTTCAGGTGGGAACAGCAGTGAGTCAGGAGACCCAGTAAAATGCAGTGGAGTTACTGGGGGGCACTCATGGACCTTCTCTTTGAAACAAACATACACAAAGATCTCGGCATTTCCATAGGTGTTACCTTATCTAGCATAGTATATTCTGTAAGAGAATTTCAGCTGAAGAACGAGGCAGAATAAAAACTCATTTTCTTTTGTCTGAGAGAAAACTTTATGTTCAGGACTAGCTAAAATCCTTAATCATAATGAATAAGCCTGGCGCTACTTAACTGATGGTTAGACTGGTCTATATCCATCTCTTTTAACATGCACATTTATTTCATCATGAGCCACATACAATTTCCAGCCTTGCTCTACTAATGCAATTTCATTAGCAAGTCACAGCTCTGTTGTCTCAAAAAAAGCAATTTTAGTTCCTGTGGTATTTCCAGTTTCAAACTGTGACCTCAAACTTCCTCCACCTAAGAAACTAGCCTAGCCAGTGCCATAAATTCATAAAGGGCATTACAATGGAGAGAGGGGAATCCTGTCTCCTAAAGTCAAGGAGAATTTTTACCCAGGATATTCAAGGTTAATATTCACCTAAGAACTGCCATACAAGAGAGGAAGGTCAACAATAAAATTCTGCAGCAAAGTTTTTGAAGAGCTACTTCCTCTAAGTCTCAATGGGAAGTGAAATTTAGTGCTTGGGAAGTAACGTAAGAAGTGTTGTACCCATCACATTCAAGGGAGTGTTAAGAGGAAAAGAGATGCAATTGCTTATTACAGCTACACCTATGGATGTGCCTGATTCAACTGACTTGGAAAAAGCCTCTGCACTGAACAGAACCAAAATCATGTTGTCAATGAGAGTTCGAATGCTAGATTAGCGGTAAGGAAACTACTTGCTTGACAGCTCAAGAGTTGAAAGACCAATAAGTTAATCAGAGCTTGTCTTCATTCATAAAATAAATAAATACCAGTTTAAAAGAACAGCTTTAGCTAAACTGGTACAAATTTGTGAATAAGCAAAAGTTCAGGATTTCCTTCTCTGCTGTGACAGCAAGACACACACACCTACATACATTTAAAATTTGTAACTGAGCACATACGCAATCTGGAAATTCTTTTTAACATCAGTTTCTGAATCCTGTTGACAAGATGATCTATAAGGAACCATTACACCAGGGAAGATGTAACACTTTACAATCAACATTTGGTCAAAGTTTGTACGGTCGTGCAGTTCCCCGCAGTAAGATAAGCTACACGTGAGAATTTTTGTTTATGCTTTCTCAAAAGAGAAGATTTCAGAGACTAACAGGCTATTAAAATCATATGGCACTTTCAATAAATACTTTAAAGCTTCTTAAAGAAATCAGGATAAAAAAAGCAACTGCTGTAATAAGCCTGTTTTAGCCATAATACATAATGCTGAAGGAAAAAATCCAGAACAGCAAACAGATACTAACAGTTAAAAGACAGTACAGCTTTTTTCTTTCTGCAGCAATATGAACTGGCTCCCATTCCTGGGGACATGGGAGCAAGCCCACCTTGAAACAAGTATTCACTCAATCTTAACTGCTCTACGCTCCACCCCAACCCTTACATCACTTCACTTCTAAAACATAGTCACATTTTATATAAATGTCAGTGCAGAAATGTATTAAACATGAAAACTACTGATCCTGCAAACCTTTACGACCACGCTTAACATTAAGGGAGTGCCTAATGTCATGACACCAGACGAGCTACCCACACGCTTAATGCTAAGCGTAGGTACATTGCAGCATCAGGCCCAAAGATGCCAACCACCACCGGGGACATCGGCTGGGTCAAAATGGTATCGTTCTGTCTGGTTTTGTCCAGGTGTTCTCAACAGAAGCACATCAAGAAACAGAAACTTCCAAACCTACACACGGAAACACAGTTACATGTGTGTACATACTAATAGGCAATATACATTCAGTAACTTGAAAGAATAGGTTAAGACTTTATTCAGATAGACAAATTAAGGCAATTATCTTAATGTCTCTTCAAGATAAAGGACCATGTCCTCATTTGTGACCTCTAGGTTTTAAAGCTATATTTTTCAAGAAATATATTTCAGTTTTCTTTATATTTTCTCCAATTAGCAATTTTGTTTGCTTAATAAATCATTTCTGTGCAAGGGTGCACGCTGACAATTTGGCAGTGGTAAAAAGTCCAATTCGTTTATATAATACAGACTTTCTACATTTTTGTTACAGGGTGATTAGTTTAGGACTGCATTTTGGCTTAATACAAAGAAAAATTTAGAAGTTCTGGCCATCCAATGGACATAACTTTGTCAGTCTAGCAAGACACAGAATTCATGTTATAGCCAAAGTAAAAAAAAAACCAAACCAAACCAAACCAAAAAAAAAGATGTACTGTCCTTTCACTAAAACAGACAAAAAGAATAACACAGAATGGAAACAGCCTTCACAAATAAGAGTGAATAATGCCCAGGTACCTTATATAGGCAGTTATTCTACAACTGTATACAGTTATTTACAATGGTGCTTTATAAAACAAAACAAAAAAAAAAATGGTAGCACTTCCTAAAAGATTTTGGAACTTTTTTTCTTTTTTTTCTTTTTTTAAAACTCCCTTGTCATAAAAGCCAACTTACATTAAAATATACTTACTACAAGACAACACAACTAACAAAATATATAATAAAACTCATACAAGTAGAAAATTCTGAGGTATTTCTGGTTTGAGGTGGTCTGTGGTCATGAAGTTTTTAATTTTTAATTTTTTCAGTTTAAACCTCGGAAGCCACGTAACGTGTGTGTGTGTTTTGTGGTTTGTTTTTTTTTTTTTAGGTTTTTTTTTTTAAACATTGCATGGTTTGCAAATTAAAAAAATATTTCAATGTTGAATCAGCAGCATTAGGAACATTCACTGACTAGAGCGAGTTTATGGCATAATAAGAGTAACGGTATTTTAGAATATGCACCACTTTAAGACAAAAGAGTTTTGTCACAGAGTAAGGAGAAAGCAGCGCCAAAGAAACCAGTCGGAGAGATGCTGCGATAACCGCTGCTGCTGCACAGCTGCTTCTGCGTCCTGCAACCGGGCAGTTCATAGGCTTCTCGGACGCTACAGGACCCAAAATTAATTGATTCCCGCAAATTAATCAGGGGAAAAAAATTATAGAGCCAGTTTTCACATTTTCCTCTTTTCCTCATCTGCACGGGTAGCTTGGGCTGACAGATAATCGACCCCAAGGCTGAATTTCCTAAACTGACTCGCACTTAAAGCAAGATGCAAAAATTTTCCCATCTTCCAGTATTTTACCGAAACGCTTCTGAAAACACATTTTCCCACCTCTTC